TGTTTATAAAGTTGAACATTCCTTTAGTGGACACCTCTCCACAAAGGACAGTTTTCATTCGCAAAATTAGCATTTTTACAATTTAGCAACTTTCCGGTAAGAGGAAACCTCTCCCTAAAGGACACTTTGGCTCTGCAATTAGGTGTCCTTTACAGGAGGTTCTACTGTATTATTAAAATTTAATGTGTAAATTTCTCCATAGTTTTTTTTTTTATTTTTTAAATAAGTTCTGATCAACATAAATAAATTCTACATATTTTTAGTAAAATGAAGGGTCATGGCTGTATTGTATGACATACTTTAGATTTATTGTTATAAAATTGACTGGCCGTTATTGTAGATCCGTTCGTTGAATAGGCCATTCCTCTATATTCACAAGTTTTATTTGTTTTCAATAAATTTAATTGCCATATAATTATGAGATATTAGTATTTTCTCACATTTTTTATAGGCTACAATATATTATTTAGAATAAAGTAAAAAGAAAACAAGATAAAAACCCAAAATATAGTAATGAAGAAGTAAGCAAAGATGTTAATACAGAAATATTCAGAGAGAGGCGAGAAAAAAGTGGAGAGTTTCGAGATTTTCTTATAAAAGATTATGTCAAGAAAAAAAAAGGTATAAAACAAAGAACTGTGCAAGATGGCAGCAAATATCTAAAGAAATATTATTGAAAATTATTTTGAAACATTTCATTGCATTATAGAAATCTGTCACTTCAAATCCTAGCACAGCATATTGTTACGTCGTACCCAGACGCTGTTCGTATTATTTGTATAATCAGGATGGCACAAAGTGTTCGTGAGTTCGAAGGGATGCAGCAAAAGTTTTCACTTTATTATACGTGGCACTAAACAGAAGGAGTACAATCAGTGGGACTTGCCTTCAACCTCCCCGTCATAAGAATCCTTGGCGCCGTGGATGTCACTCTTGTGAAGCGCTCCGCTCCACACTATACACGTCTAGCTTGGACCACACCGTCTTGTAGGCCGCTCCGATGTCAGGTTCTCCTGGCACCGCCTTGCAGGATCATCTACACGCCCGGAGGCAAGTCGCCACGTCTTCTCCTCGCCGCAGAAGTGACCAGACTCTGCCCTCCCCACACAGGAATGCTGTTTTTGGCGCCTGCCAACACATGGCCATCCCCCACTCATTTCTCCCCAACTTTACTCTGGAATCTTGGCCTTGGTATCCATTTTACAATATTCTAGGCCTAATTTCACTCTTATAATTTTCCTTCTCATGTGTAATGTGTGTTAACATTCTACACTTCATTATTTAGAGCCTAAGATACAAATTTAATAAAGCTTAGGGAAATGGCTGTCATTCTAGACCCGTTCGTATGATCTAGTATACATTTGTAAATATTTAACACACACACACACTCGAGCGTGCGGCCACGCTTTCGCGAGCTCCGCCGTTTTCGCCTCTAGAGTGTGTGTAAAAGGCGCTTACCATTGCGAGTTTGGTACCAGGAGAAGCCTCTCGATCCGCTGAACAAGTGCCTGAAAGGCCCAGCACAGGATCTCAACCAGGTGATGAAATAGCACCAAAAAAAAAAACGAATTTGAGATGAACTTCTCTAAAGAAAATTCCATTCTTAAAACTCAAAAAGATGCTAATTCGCCGGCAGGCGACATGCATGTAAATCCGGCCGCCGCGCGTGACGTCACCGCGCCGCCGACTGCTGCTTCTTCCAGCGAGAATCCAGCCAACCCGGCCTCGCTCAACTGGGCCGACACCGAGATGGCGGAGGTGGACGCCAACGACGGCTACACAGTCGTGAAGGGCAAGAAGAGGCGCCGCGGATCAACATCACCTGAGCACGCTGCAAGGCAGCCCAACAAGCCTGGAGCGCAGCGCAGCGGAAGCGGCCAACAGGGCCGAGGTCAATGCCGCCCCAGGAAATCAAGGCGACGCGCGCCAACATCGCCGACGCCAAGGCGAGGCAGAACTCCACCAACCACGAGAACTACATCTTCGTGGAGCTGTGCCCTGACATCCCGGACTACTCCTACCTCCAGGCAATAGGCAAGCTGGTCGGAGGGCCAGGGAGAATAAGCCAGTTCAACAGGATGAACGGCCACTACGTCGTGGGCCTCGCGGGCAAGGACCTTGCGAGCCGTCTGGTGGAGGTGGGCCTTGACATCGAAGGAACCGACCTGAAGGTCTTTCCCTTCCGGAAAAAGGCAGAACGCATCACCATCGCAAATCTGCCCGGCTTCGTCGAGGACAGCGCCATCGTGGAGGCCCTGCGCAACTTCGGCACCGTGACCTCCATCGCCCCCATCATGATCAAGATGGGGAGTATACCTTCAACGACGGCCGCCGGGAGGCGTTCATCCTGCTCCGCGAGGGCGTGAGGCTGGAGTCGCTGCCCACCCGAATAACCATCAAGTCCAAAGGAGACACCCTGTCTGCCTTCCTCTCCTTTGGCATCAAGTGCTCAAAATGCGGGAAACAGGGCCACCGCAGAGCCAACTGCCTAGCGCTCGCCAGGCAAGGGAACAGCAGCCCCAGGCAAGCAGCGTCTCCCACTGACGCAAGGCCCCTCCCCCCTCCTCCTCCTCAGCAGCCAAGGAGGCCGACACCTGCGCCCGCAACACCGGCGTCCCCTGTCAAACCGGCGAAGACATCAACCGAGGCTCCAGCGATCCCCTCGGCGCCCCATCCTGCCAAACCGAAGGATCTTGCACAGCCCGCCCCTGTTGCCCTCCCTGCTCCTATGGCTGCCCCGCGGCCCCTCGAGCCCGCGATCCTTCCGCTCGACATCGAGATGTCGGAGGAGGAGCGGACCTCAACTCCCTCCACGCCTTCCAAGGGAAAACCCGCAATCGTCCAGCTGCGGGAGCACCTCGAGAAGCTCCCCTCCATTGCCATCGACCACTCCGGGCTGCTCGGCCTAGACTGGGAGGACGCACAGAAGCTCCTCGCCTCTACAACCAACATGAAGAAGCGAGTGCCCTCGCTGCTAGAAGCACAGGTCACCGCCTTCACTGAGCTGGCCAAAACCATCATGGCCTCATGCCCTAACTCAAACACCCTTGTCTACAAGACCCTCCAGAAGACCAGGACGGTGCTGCTTGTAGGACGGCCCAAATGAGTTACCGCGTCGCCACCATCAACGCGCGAGGGCTCGCCACTCGGGGGAGGAGCCTTGCCCTTTGTCATCTCCTCAGGCAACATCACGTGGACATCGCGTTTGTCCAGGAGACAAACGCATTTCATCTGGGCAGCGGCCAAGACCTCTGCCTCGGCTACAACGCTGTTGTATTGGCCCATCCCGTAGCCATCTCGGGATCCGGACTCGCCTGCGTCTTCGGGCCAGGCGTAGCCGTGATACAACAGCGCGTCCTGTGGCCGGGCCACATCGCCTTGGCAACCATAGATGTCCACGGCGAGGAGATGACGGCCATCGCCGTTCATCTGGCGCATGAACCCCGGGAGAGAAACCGGCAACTGGAGCTCCTGGCGGCGACAGCGGCACAGGAGGAGGAGGGGGCCTGCTGGATCATCGGCGATTTTAACATCAGGGATCGGGGGCCCTCATCATCATCATCATCGTCGGATGCCCTCGCCGCTCTTCTGGACCTGGCCGCGCTGGTCGACGTGGCCACCCAGTTCGACGCCGCCCACCTGCCCACCAGAGTCGCCAGGCACGGCGACCAAGTCGAATCCAGCCGCCTGGACCGGATCCTCGTCCCTGCTGGAGTCCTGGATCGCGTGTCCATCTACGCGACCAGCCACTACCACCTCTCGGACCACCGCCTCGTGCTGCTCCAGGTGGGTCCGCCCACCACCGCCGTCTCCTCCCCCACCCAGCCTCGCTTGGCCGCGATGCTCTGCTCGGGCCTTGCTCTCGAACATCTGGCTGGCTACATCCGGGAGTTGGAGGAAGACACAGCGCACGATGACGACGACGGGACCTTCTGGGATAGGTGGACCTCCATCAAGGCGGGGCTGCTGGCGGAGGCCAGATCCCTGCACGACCCGCGCCACGCTGCCAGCGACAGCTACGTCTACAGGGCGAGACGTTACATCGCGGCGC